GAAAGTAGTATTTATTTAATAAACTACAACAATAATAATTAGTTATGTACATTTATTAAAATTTATATACAAAACAGAGTTGTCAATGTAATTAGCACTTAATAGATAAACAATTTACAAATTTAGCTGTTCAATTCAATTTTCAATACGAAATTTATGGCAACATTTCTAGAATACTCTCCTATTTCATTTAATATCTATTAAAAAGTAATCTAAGGAATGAAAGAAAAGCGATTGCAATAAAAACCTTTATCTGCTAGGTATTGTAAAAACAAATTTAGTTTGTGTTTACTTTTTTATTATTTAATCTAAAAACACTTAAATTTTTATATTTTCACTTGAAATTTGTTTTGTTTATTTTATTTATTGTCTGTATCTCTTTTTTTTACATAATGCAAGCAAGGTCATTTAGAATTAGTTTGTACTTTTATATATATTTTTTACATTGCACTATGGTTTAGATTATTTTAATGCGGGTTTTATATTCAAAAAGTTTAAATTAATGAAAAATTTAATTTGTTTTTGAAAACAGAAATTTCTAAACAACGAGTTAGTCATTTTAATTAGTTTCCTTTGATAAAATTTTTAGACAAAAGTTTGTAATTTGATTTTAGTTGGTTGAAATTGTAAGAAACACTTGAATTGTTTTGTAAACTTTATATGACGCATTTATAAAGTTTTAAATTGCCTTTTTGTTTAAAATAGCAAAATAATTGAGAATGAAAACATCTATATACTGTTCACATTTTTTACACATCTACTTCTTATTCTGAAGTATTTTTAGAAATTTTTTCATACCTATTCATTTTTTGTTTCCTAAGTCTTTTTTAATTCTGGGTGATTCTATATTTTCTCTGAGGAATGTCAGGAAGAACGAGGAGAGCGCCCAAAAATGTGCGTAACAATGGTAGATCTGGCAAATCTGATGTCGGTAGCGGCATCATATTTCGTCCAACTGGACTTAATCCAGTAGCGCAATTTTTAGATTGGATTCCGTATTGAGGAATCCCCGAAATAAAAATTACTTTGCTCTTCCAATAACAACAATCTCACAAACAAAATCTTTAATGAAATTTTGAATTTTTGCTAAAATTTTATAAAATTTTGATTGATTCCCAAAAAATTGTTTAATTTTTATTTATAGTCAAAAATTAAATTTTGAAATTTAGCAAAAGTTTAGAGTGTGTTTATGAAATTGAAAATAATTTTGAAATATTTATCCATTTATCAATGGTAGATTTCATTTGACTTAATAAAAATTTGTTTTAAATAATTTTCAACTTATGTTTTGGAAATAACATAAAAACAATTACATAATAATAAATAAATTTTACAATACATACATAACAAAATTAGACTACAAATAAAACTTATGTCTGATTAGCTCTCTTCTGTTTCAGCAAGTATTTTGCTAAAATATTTATAATTCTCGACACCAACTTAACGGTGTCAATTGTATAAAAATTGATACACACTCAAGTATGACTGTCGCCTTAATGATAAATTGATAAAGAAGAATAAAATAAAAATGAAATAAAAACAGGGCACACAAAAGATAAAATAATAAAATAAAAAACAAAAATAATGTGATAGTAGACATAACAAAAACAAATAAAAAACAATAAACACAGCATTAATAATACAAAACATCTTCATAAAACAATTCTTTAACAAATTTGCACAAGTCATCAAAACATTAAACTTTTAAAATTATGAAAAATAAAATAAAAACAAAATTGGTAAATAATACAAAATGAAATATTTAAATTTTTTTTTGTTAATTTACAACGTAACGATTGTTAGTTATTCCATCGAAATTATTGCAAATTTGTTATAATAAATAATGAAATATAACAACAAATACTCCTACATTATGTTAATTAATAAATGGTTTTAATAATGAAAAAACTCTTAAAATGGACTATGTTCATGTTTAGTTGTTTTATATTTAGACCGCTAGTTTCCGCTTGAGTGTAAGCAAGTTATTTTATCTCTTCAGTTTAAAATTAGTTGTATGCTCTTTTTTCCAACTATTTTATGCCAAAACAGTTTATCAATATTATAAACTCTAAAACTAATATTAAACTGACAAAGTGTAGTGTATTTTACACTGATAGTATTAGAATTTATAAATTTAAACTTGAAAACAAAAATCTAAGGAAAATCTTTAAAATTATTCAATAAATTCGACAATATTTTTTGTTTACAAAATCGAAAAATAAAGAGTAAACAAAAAAAGTAAGACCTTCTGTTAAATATACTTGAGGAAGAAAAGAAAAAGTAAAATATCTAAAAAGAATATCTCCCCTTTTTTTTTAAGCAGACATCACAACAGCAGCCTCAATATATGATGGTGCCAGATAAATATTAAATAAAAATGGGTAAAAAATAAAACATCTACATAAAATGACTGACTCATGCATACATAGGCTGTTTTAAATAACAAAAAAATATATACAAGTAATTATTTATATTACATACAGATTTTGTTCTAAAATTCTCTATGTGCTCATTCCTGTTTTTCAATCAAATATTTTAACAATTAAAAAATAATGTTTGTTCTGTTCAATCTAAATTTAGTTAAATGTTTATTTCTTCTAAAAAGTATAACAAAATTAGGACCTCACTTTATTATCTCTACTAGTGAATATTTAGCCATTCATGTTGTCTGTTTTGATTTATATAGAAATAAATATACAGAACAGCAGTGATATAGACAAATTTTGTATATGAAAGAATAGGCATATCTGTATATATTTGTATATATTTTAAATAAATATGTATGTACGTCAGCAAAACAACAGTGCAAAAGTTTAAAATATATTTATTTTGATACATTTTAATGTTGGTATTTATATTTAGAAAATTGTTTTCAGTTTTTCTTTGCTTACAAAAACATACATATTCAAATTTTACTTTTTTCATTCATTTTCGATTTTCGGTATTTCTGGTTGTATTGAAATACATTTCCGTTTTCCTGTTCATTATTTAAATTTGTTGTTTTGTGTTATTTTACAAAATTATATGTAATATATTTTAGGCATTTGTTAAAACTTATTTAAAAAATATATTTCGCAATTGTTTTCATTAATGATTTAAATGTCAAATTACCAAAACAAAACCCTTCAGTGAATTGTTAAAAAAAAAAAACACAAGATAATTAAAATTGTATTTTCATATATAATTTAGTTTGGTTTTAAAGGAAATGCGTTGTTAATCTGGATGCATAATTCCCTTTGTTGTAATAGAAATTTAATGACTCTTGATTTTACCTTAAACAATAGAGTTATTAAGTCAGCCTTAGGTTTGCATTTCATCCAACTTTAAAACCCAATTTTAACGAATTAGAGCCAGGAGGAAACCTAGAGATTAAATTTTCTACAAATAAGTTTTATGGATTACAAATTTATTCAATAATCTGATCATTCAATCGTACTCAGTCTTATTAAACGAATTATATGGAAACGAAAATATACCTACATGTTTTGAAATTTAACTTTTATTACAAATGAAAAATAAAATCTTGGGACAGACATGTCTTAATCGACTTTAGAAAGTGATTCTAAATCGATCGGTATCTTATAATGGGAGAGTACTCCATTATAGTGGTGTAGGGTATAAAAATGACTAATGCAAGAACCTTTTTAGGATAACCATTTTAACCTTAACTTCAAAATGTTTCAACCTAAAGTATGAACAATGATGAGATACTTTCGCAAATTTATTTAAACATTTTATATCTACCTGAAATATTGTATAAACAGGTTTTTTTTGGAAACTACATACTACAAAAGTTCCTAGGTGTATGTGTATGTAAAAAATATAAAAAAACACACAAAAAAGGCTGATGGCACTTTTGTCAAAAGATGCAGCAGTAACGGCCAAAAGAATGTTTAAAAAGTCTGGATAGTACATACAAACACAAATACCTAAAACCGGTCTAAAGGAGATTCTTAATTATTAATATCTACTACAACAACCTAAACCAGTTTAATTAAAACAGAATTGAAAGACAGACAGACCTGAACGACCTGAAGGTTGTTTGTAAGAAAAGTCTGACAAAAATTATGGAGAGTATAAAAGGGGAAAAGAAAAATTTCATGAAATTGCAACATTTGTTGCAATTTACCACAGAAAGGGAAGTTTTTTTACATTTGCCAACTGTTTTACATTTATAAGAACACACAATATTTGAAATGAACATATTTTCAGAAAATGGCTACTTAAAAAACATAACCTTACATTTTTTTTTAGCAAGTTGTTAAAGAAAAACAGCAAAACAAATATTCTACAATGCAAGAACTCTCGAAATATCTGAATACACCTTTAAAATTATTTAGCTTTTAATATTTTTAAACAAAAAATTTCCAAAAACATAAATTAAACTTATTATTTATTTATATTTTGATTTTTATTCTATATTTTTAAATAAAAATGAACGCATCATATAAAAATTAACATACTTTCGTCAACTTTTCTCTTATTAAAGAGAATTTTCAAAAATAATTTCTCAACCCAGCAATTTTTGCTGAGTTCGACACACAAACACGAATAAATACAAGAGAAATAGCAAATAAACACACGCAAACACTATATAATTTCATATTTTTTCCAATTTTACACATAATGTCTTCTCTGTTATTCTTATGCGAAATTACCAAAACATTCAAGTATTTTCAAATTACAAAACAGGGAGAGTCTTAATGGAAAATGGCTGACTTGCTGCTTAAAAAAACAACAAACAAACCAAAACAAAGATGACACTAACTTGCTCTCATCACCTTTACACATATTAAGATAACACAACAGAAAGAGTACGATATATTTCTACTCCATCACAAACACTCAATATGTGCAAAAAAGTTCACGACAAAAAATTTCTTCACTTTTTTCCAACATTTTTTTTTTTGCATGTGATAAAATATTTTAATAAAACTTTTTCACTGTTTGTAATTTTGTTTTTTTGTGTTAAAACTTTTATTTTTGTTGGGTATACATACCTTTTCGCACAAAGTTCTAACTTGTGCTTCTGTCAATTGATTGCATTCATTCAATTGTTCAATCCATTGATCCAGATCTTTTGTTGTTGCTTTATCCTCCATTGCAGTTGAAGTAGAGGAAAAAGTCTCGTCAATCTTTGTCGATTCAATTTTGACGGCTTTTTTTAACACAGAGGGGCGAAAGAAAATTTATATAATCCACAAAAAGTTGGGACTATAAGTTCGTTTTAGGTTTTTTTCTTAATTGTATTCGATTTTATTTCTTTTATCCCGTTCTTTTTATCTATGGGCGTTGTAAAGAAATTTGCAAAATTTTCGATAAGAAAATAGAAAAATGCAAATTTCAGCAACAACGTCTAAAATTAGTTTAATGAATAAAAAACACGATAAATGTCTTAAAAAAACGATACGAACGAGTGAAAAAACGACGAACGACTGACTGAGTGCTTCACTATTTTTCTTTTCACAGCAATTTAAATAGTGATGCTATATTAATGCCGTATATTTATCTCTTTTTAACTTGTGGCCAAATGCTTAATACTTGTTAACTATTGAAAAAAATACTTTATATGTTGTTACTCTTTTAATTTTCGTTTTGAACATGAATTATTTTGTAAATTATTTCTTAATTTATTATTATTACAATTAACTTGTTTTTATTTCGTTTAATAATATAATTTATGCATATAAATAATTTGTATTAGTAAATTTAAATTTAATTTTCGCAGTTTTATTTTCGAAGACTGATAAAAAGTTAAATTCTTTTATTATACGATGACAAATTAAAATGCCGTGCAGAACCCTGCGACGACAGTTATTAACGGAGGCGGCGGTTGACACTAAAAATTTCGGCAGCGGCTTAAAGTTGTATTTACTGAGCTGGCTGAGTTTTCAAAAGTTTGTTATAATTTTCAGGGACAGAAAATAATGATTATTTTTATAAATTTGATCGAATAACGTAATGATTTTTTATTTTGTAAGTTTTATTTAAAAAACTTATTTTTGATTATTATTTTTTTAATTTTATAATTATTTTTTAAGTGTTATTTTGTGTTCAAATCATAACAATTATCTTTGAGTTTATTTATTATTATTTTTTTTTTCATTCAATAATAGAAATCAATTTTAAATTTTATTTTGAAAAATAAAGTTTAGTCATTAGTTTTCTTTTCTAATATGTTTTTAACGTTTATGAAAACAAGTTCAAATCTTTTAATTTTTCCAAACATTTCTAACACATTCAAAACCACTTATTAAATTGGATTTTGTTTCTGTTTTTATTTTTTTTTGACAACTTTGACATGTTATTTAACTGAATATTATAAAGCAACGGTTCCCAAATGGGGGTCCGCGGACCCCTAGTGGTCCGTAGTAAGATCCTAGGGGGTCCGCGAAGACGAACGAAAAAAACCATGAATAAACAATATTCTGCTTTTATATGTATGTACAAATATCTCCAATTTTTGTGCAATAATCCCAAATTTTTTGGTGACTTTTTGAATTTTATTTTTTCGGTTGTTTATCAGGAAGAAGCTAGGCCCTACAAATTTATTGTATATCTTTTATAAAGTAAAGTACTGCGTGATTTGTAATTTTTATTTTCTGTATATGTAGTATATGTACTGAAATAATGGTTTTTATTTCAGACAAATAACACTCTGCCTTACAATTAAATTAGGGATACAGGTATTCCGGAGTATGAAGTTCAATTCAAAGACAGGCTTATTACAGATTTAAGTTTATCAAATTGTAAGCAAAATTATATATTTCCAAAACAGAGGTGACTCTTTATGCATCTCTTTATAAATATTCCAATCCGATGTGATACACAGATTTTAACTTGATTTTGTCGACCAATACATATTATTAAATTAACATCAGAAAATCCATAGCGTTTCGCGTAAATATGTAGCCAAAAACCATGAAGTAAAATAATTCGTTGGTATTTTAAAATTCAAATTTAAGTTCCAAATTCACAGTACTTTAACAAAGAGTTCAAATTATATATTATGCAGATAACGCATTCCGCAACAACATAAAAGAAGTCCAACTTTCTTATATTATTTTCCCGAAAACTTAGCTCACTTACTCAGTTCACCCTTTGCAATCGCAACAAATTTTTGAAACGTGACTCCTTAAGCACATGTGACAATATTTGATAAAGAAACCTTCTCGCTACCTTGAAGAAAAATGAACATGAAAGATCTCACGATCATAAAATTAAACATCATGTTAACATATCAACAAAGAAGTCATTCTATCTTCAAAACATGCAATTGAAAACCTATCTGAAATATTATATATTCTCAATGTACGGGAATATTTTATAGATATGACATCTTTACATTTATTAGACTTAGGGATTAATGAACTAGGTCAATTTTCGGATGGACAATTATTTAGAACAATAAGATATCAAAATATGTATGGGGGTCCGCGAAATTAAATAAGTTCTTCAAGGGGTCCGCGAAGTAAAAATCTGTGGGAACCGCTGTTATAAAGTGTAGTCAGTTTAAGTAAATGTATCAATAGTATAAAATTTATAGTTTAGGCAAAAAAATTCTAAAAATTTTTACCAAATTTGAGATAATATCATGAAATAGAATTTCTGAAATTTCCAAAATAAGGTATTGCCGGGAAATTTTAAGTTTATATTTTTGTAAAGTATTTTCCACTTTTTGTTTCAATGTAAATATTATCTAAAATATTTTTAAAATGCATTAGCTTCTAAAAAAAAAAAAACATTTTTCATTTATAAATAAACCCTGTAGTACTGAAAAAGTGATTTATTTAGTATTGAACATAATTCCTTTTTTACTGAATATTTTAATTGTAATAAAAAAATGAAATGAAATTTATTAGAATAAAAACAATTGAAGTGAAAACATTCTGATGAGTGTAGTATTTGTATATTATTAATAAATAACGAGATTTGTTTTCATCGCTTGTAAATTAGGATAATACATTATATAGTCTTAAGTGTTTATATGTTATTTGTTTAAAATACTTTCATTGTATCAAAAAAAGGCTCAATAAATATTAACATTAAGTTCTGAAACTACTTCTAAAAACTGCACTGTAAAAGTGCTACCAAGTTTAGGAAAAACAATTTGATGTATTTTACCCCCTCTAGTGGTGCGTAGTAATGACGAGATAAACGTCAAACTTCTAATACAACCCTGTATTTTTAATTTCCTTCTTTTTCACCAAAACCTTTTCGAGGTTGGACGTTTGTTTGTTAGCGCTCCGCAGTCTAATAAAAATAAATAAAAATGACTGAAACTTTACAATTACGTGGTACCCTTTTGGGTCACAATGGCTGGGTAACCCAAATTGCCACCAACCCCAAGGATCCCGATACCATCATCTCTGCTTCTCGTGGTAAGTACAACGATGCAGTCTTAATAGAATTTGCCGGCACAGATTTCATTATAATCCTTTTAAATCTTTGGCATCCTTACCTAATTACTATTTATTTTTTATTATAGACAAGACCTTGATTGTCTGGAAGTTGACCCGTGATGAAGATACCAACTACGGTTTCCCCCAAAAGCGTTTGTACGGTCACTCTCACTTCATCAGTGACGTAGTTTTGTCCTCTGATGGTAACTACGCTTTGTCTGGTTCCTGGGATAAGACTTTGCGCTTGTGGGATTTGGCTGCTGGCAAGACCACTCGTCGTTTCGAAGATCACACTAAGGTGGGGAATTGTGTTTTAGTTATATGATGAAAACTATGGTTAGGTTAAAGTGACAGGGTTATAAATTATTGAAATGGCATGGAGCTTGTTAGGAGTTTAGGTTTCTTTGTATGAAAAATACTTTAAAGGCTCCATGCCAAAAAATGAAATAAATGTGTCGCCCATGCGGGGCAGAATTTCTGGTTGATCATCTGTAAAATGAGTTATGCGGAATGTTGTCTCCTCATCATACGCATTTAACGCTACTCTCTTGTACTGAATAAAGGAGTGGTTTCTCGTAAGTGTTTAACTATTAAGAAAATATATATAATTTACTATTCCTATGTTTGGTTCTTTTTATAATTTTCTACTGTTATGTACAACTAGTATGAGAGTTTGTTTGTAATATTTGTATTTTTTGCAATTGTAGGATGTTTTGTCTGTTGCTTTCTCCGCTGACAACCGTCAAATCGTTTCCGGCTCTCGTGACAAGACCATCAAGTTGTGGAACACTTTGGCTGAATGCAAATTCACCATTCAGGAAGATGGTCACTCCGATTGGGTATCTTGCGTACGCTTCTCCCCCAACCACTCCAACCCCATCATTGTTTCCTGCGGTTGGGATCGTACCGTCAAGGTCTGGAACTTGGCTAACTGCAAGTTGAAGAACAACCACCACGGCCACAACGGCTACTTGAACACCGTCACCGTTTCTCCTGATGGTTCCCTCTGCACCTCTGGTGGTAAGGACTCCAAGGCTCTCTTGTGGGACTTGAATGACGGCAAGAACTTGTACACTTTGGAACACAACGACATCATCAATGCCTTGTGCTTCTCCCCCAACCGTTACTGGTTGTGCGTTGCCTACGGTCCCTCCATCAAGATCTGGGATTTGGCCTGCAAGAAGACCGTCGAAGAACTCCGCCCCGACATCGTCAACGGCACCAAGGGTGTTCAACCCCAATGTTTGTCTTTGGCCTGGTCCACCGATGGTCAAACCTTGTTCGCCGGTTACTCTGACAACACCATTCGTGTATGGCAAGTCTCTGTTTCTGCTCATTAAGCAGCATAGACAGTTAAGCAGCATTAAACTACTACCACCACCACTTCTAACAACAAACATCAATATTTTAACATTTGTATGCATCCTGGTGATCATTGCAAGCGTGTTTTTAAGCAAAAAAGTTGTAGTAGATAAACAAGATTTTTTACATAGAAAAATGTATTTATTTTGAGCGCTGATTTGTTTATTATATAAACAAATAAATAACAAGTTAAAAAAATTGTATATTCTTTTATTTTGAACTGATTTAGAAAGATTCTGTCTTGCACTTTTTGGGAGACGGATAATTGTATTAATTTACTCTAGTTTTTAAGATATTCTTATTTATAAAATAAAATAGGAATTTTTATAATTTAAATTATTGGAAGTACTATTTTATGTTGGTGGGAGCAAATGATAAAAAAAGTAGTTGAACATTTAGTATTCAGAAGGTCTGATCGGAAATCTTGGCTTTGAAAGAACTTGTTTCAAAATAGTTTTTAACATTTATAAAAGTATATTCGGAAGGATACGATCCTGAAATACCATGTATACTTATTATTGAAATGGGTTGTGAAAGCTTTGTCTTTTTTATGTTACTTTTAATGATTTATTTAATTGAATCTGATCCGACTATCGCCCTTTGTATCATCCATCCCTGTAATTCAAAATTATAATTAGGTGTTAAAGATCTAAATGCCCTCTAATTTTGAACTAATTAACATTTGAGTCTAATTAACTGGCATTGCAATATATGATGCCATCTATCGGAAAAAACTTTAATCTTGTGAGAATCTTGATTTTTTGTTACATTGTTTATCGATTACGACAAAGTGTTTATCGATTATGAACAAACTTTACTTTTTTATTAATAGAATACAGGCCGAATGTCGATGGTTTTTAGGGAATTCAGAGTGTTGAATATTTACCGTTATTCTGCATTTCGTACGATTACGTTCCCGAATATAATCCATAGCCTGCATTATAGACGACCATGTTGCGGATCATGTACTCTCATAAGTTTAGCAAGGGAGTAGTCTAATGTAATATATGGGAGGATAACTTAGCCCCCACCTAAGACATCACAATATAAAATGGAGAGTTTTTATCATATA